ACTTGGTTTCACTTTAATAATTGCATTGTCACATGTTATTGTAGGCTTATTGAATGTGTAGAGCACACTTTTCTTTCTTGAATTAAATTCATTATGAAGAACATAAGGTTCTGTTTCCATCTATTAATATTTTTTTTTATGAGAGTTAATTTAGATTTCTTTCATTCGACTTAGATACTATAAAGTTCATATTTGTTATAAGTCAACCAAGTCTTCTTATTGTTTCTTTCATGAATGTTGAGTTGTAACATTATAATGAAAGTTTGATAAATGAAAGGGATATTGTTTGTTAACGTTATTGTTAGCATTAAGTAAAAGTAGCTTGGGCTAACTATTTAAAGTTTATAATTCAGTCTTTCATTTAAGATTACTTGATCATTTTAATCAGGGATAAATTACTTTTGGCTGTAAGAGTTTGGTCCCTCTTTTATATATTTGATGGTATGCCTAATGATATAATAGTTTGATTGATGGTACACCTGTGCTAAATATACATTTTGCAATAATGTGGTGCATTGATGTGGGTCGGTAAGTTTTATATTGTTGTAGTCCCTTATTTTGTATAGATTCTCCTTTTTGTGTGAAATGACTAATATGCCCCTTTGCGAAGTAGGTCTTGCATCTTATTGGAAAAATCCTATATGAAAAAGTTACAACCATAGGATCACATTTGCATGTTCAATTAGGAGAGTGTTGCTAATTTATGGAACATATAATATTTTTGGAGAATATTTAGCTTAAAATTTCCTTATCCCTCAAATCATCAGTTTGTTCTCAATATGATTTTGAGTTTGAAAATTAAATTTTAATAGACACCATTGAGGTAAAAGTTCTGACACATATGTAGCTCCTTAATGAAATAAAGTCTTACTAATTTTTGTCGGACCCCATAGAGTTTTGTTATTAGCCATAAACACAATACTATGGCATCTCTTGATGAGGCATATGATTCAACTCCTTTGAGCTACATCTAATACTATGATATTTGAGGCTCTTGGCTTCTCTCTTTTTGGTAAGTGCCTTTTGGCCGGTGTTCTTGTTTTTTAGAAGATTATAAGGTGGTTACCCTATTTCTGCGGATGATTTGGATGGTAAAGTTAGCTATTAAGGTTTCAAAGCAGTTGATGATTATGAGGAGGCACAATCTTTATTTACAATCTTTATTTTGGTTGATTGGATTTTAGAAGAGTGTACCTAAGGTAAGTTATTTATTGCAAATTACGTTACTGTTTATGTCTTATAATTTGTTCTTTATCGTACTTGTGAGTTAGCACTTTTATTATATAGAAATTTTACGGGCCCGTTCTTTTAACAATTGATATGAGAGCAGAAGTTATGAGGAGCATAAGAGTAATGTAGTTTGATATCAAGAAGTTTAATGGCTCAAATATTTTTGGGCATTGTAGAACTAAGATGCATGCTATTACAGTCCAATAGGAATATGTGAATGCGCTTATGGAGTGTGCATATGCTGGAGATCACGAGTGAAGAAGACGAGATAGATGCCTAAAAAATGCTCTCTCCACTATTCAACTATTTTTGTTATATAAGGTCATGTTAGAGGCCTCGGAGGATGCAATCGTTGAAGCTTTGCATTTCAATAGAATACTTTTACATGTTTAAAAGTCTCTCGAACGAACTCATTTTAAAGTTGACGTTGTATTTACTTCAGATGCAGAAAGATGCTCCCATTATATCACATCTCAAAAAGCTTAATTCCATAATTTGAGATGTTAGAAATATTGATGTTATTGTTAATGATGATCAAATTTAGTTGTTTTCGTGCTATTTGCATCCCTCTTACAGGCATTTAAGTGACACTATGTTATATGGTGGAGATACATGCAACTTGGAGCTTATTTCAGAAGGTGCTACTTTTAAACTTTAAGGTGCAATAGATGAAAAGGCAATAGAGAGATTACCGGTTAGTGACAGATCTTTGAAGAGATGATAAATTTTTAATCATGGAAGATATATGTATTATAGTAGATTTAAGGATTTCTCTTATTTTTACTGCAAGAAGAAAAGGCATTAAGAAAAGTTGTCATGCTTTGTAGAGAAAGCAATACGGGGACACAAGCATAGGTAGGATAAGTTAGTAGATGCAAGTGTTGGTGTAGTTTGGTTTGATTTTGACATGGATGATCTTCTTTTGATGATTGGTGAAGATAAATGTATAAAACAATGGATCCTTGACTTGTTCACATCACATGTGCTTTTATGAGATGTTTTTCACTTCTAGGCTTATTCTTATTGAAAATGGCACTGCTTACAAGACTGTTGTTGGTATGATGAAATTGAGGGTGCATGATGGTGAGACTTGGACAATGGTTGAAATTCGCTGTATGTTAGATATTAGAGTGAATTTGGTATGGGATGAGTCTACTTATTGTTTTTGGGAATAAATTTCTTAGAGATAAACCTTTTAAGACTTTCAATGATGATATGTTTATTATGAAGACGAATGTTGCTGGTGAATTTTATGTGTTTTAGGTTGCAACTATGGGTAGTGTTGCTTCAACTTTATTTTCTTTAGAGCAGCAATGTGATTTGAATATGCGTAAAAGAGTTAGCTTCTTGGTTGCAAGATAGGTTCTCAAATAAAAAGGCACAAATTTGTGGGAGAATATTAGAGATGAATAGATGGATTATTATATTGCAAAATTAATTCTAGAGCTCGAGTGTACCATTGCAATACTTGTAATTAGAAGACAACAACTTTAGTGATATGAAAATTTGGTGGCAGGTGCCCTGTTGATATTGAGGAATTGGTGACAGCATACAAAAATGTGCTTTGAATGTCTTTCGTGGATGTTCAATTTAGGCGCAATTTGGACTTCTTGAGCTTGCACAATATTCAGTCTAAGGGCTTTAAGAGTTTAGAATGCTTATTGTAGTGCCTTATAGATTTGATTCACGACTCATGATAATATATTGTTAATCTAATCTGTAAGAGGCTGATTGTTGTGTTTATGGATATTAATTCCCTTTTAACTCTATATATCTATATAATATTGAGTTTAACTTTTCTTCATTTTTAAAAGTGGCTTCAAGCAGAGATGAGCAAGACCAATCCTTGAGTTGAGAGAGCCGTGTGCCAGTTAAGGAGTACCAAAGTAAGTTTAAGGTGAGTTAGGGTTTATTTATTTTAATTTATGAATTTAAAATATATGTTCAACTATGAAATGTTAATAGTAAGTTTAATTAAACGAGAAAGGTAAATAGTTGTTCAAGGACATTAAATAGATAAAGATTAAAAAATAAAGATGAAATGTAAAGGACTAAGTCAATTAAGATGTACTCCTTATGATATTAGTCGGGGACGCTATTGCACCCTTGCACGTAAAAGGAAACGAAAATAATGAAGGTGTATGTTCAAGTGCAAAATTTTGAGGGTACATACTGTCATAAACTTTTGAGAGTACCTAAAGTACGAATTTTTGAGAAAACCTATGGTTATAACTTTTTGAGAATACTTTTGAATTTACTGGTAATCCCGATACAACTTCTTAAAAAGGTTAAAAATATAAATGCTTAAGTTGAAACATTAATGGTTAATATAAATGAAGCTTATAATTTGATTAATTAATGAATCACGTTTTTTTTGGACATTCATGCATAGCATTTGTATATTAAACTAATGCATATTAAGATTGTAATAACTCTGCAAGTAGTGGTAAACTTATTGTTTAAATTAATTGTTTCTTTCAGATTAAAATTAGGTTGACATGACTAACAAGAGAGATTTTGTTTACAAAAGGATTACTAATACTAGGTAGTAGGTTGTTGGTTATGGTTTTAGTTTTCAGTATTGTTTATTTCAGATTGATGTTATGTTTTTTTTGGTTGGATTGCAATATTGTTTTTCTTTCGGACTATGATATTATTTTATTTATATTTGGTTACAATTTAATATACTTATGATTTTTAGTCGCTCTTTCTTGTTATTGGAAGTTATGATAATTTATTGTATAATTTAACAAAAAGGTTATTATCGTTTGACCACAGTTTCTAATTTGGTTAATTCTAACCTATTAGGCCGGATTATGACATTTTTTATGTTATAAATATGACTCTGTGATGCAATAAACTGTAATTTCTAAAAGTTCAAAAATCTAATAATTTAGATCTCTCCCTTTTCTGTTTCTGCTGGCTATAGCAGGGAAGGACAGCAGCGGGACCCTCTCTTTTCTCTTGATGTTTGCTAGGAACAAAAGTTAAGAAGACCTGGGAAAGTTTCTAGTAACCTGGTTTACTTTGGGAATCTGTATTGAACTTAAATTTTACTTTCTAGGCAGCAAACTGCAGTCATTTCAAGGGTAATTCCAGCCAAGGAGCATAAAAGGGACGGAATAATCTATAGTTTGACCCACAATTTTCATCACTTTTGTACCCAGGATTTTGGGTTCATTTAACCAACTGTTGGTTACTTGATACCTTGTGAATTAGATTAACAAAATCGGTCAATCTTCCTTGGTTTTATTACATGCCACCAGCTCTTCCTCACATCTGTCCATCTCAATAAGGCTCTACCTCTTAGCTTTGCTTGATTGAGATTTGACGTAGCGGAAATTTGGTTGTTTTGCCGCAAACCTTGTTTAGCTTCTTTTGGTTGAGATTTGACATTGCGGAAATTTAGTCATTTATTCTTTGTATCAGCCATGTGCGGCCAAAATTTAGAAGTTACGGAGAAACATATGTTGTCAAGACTAAGGGATCCATAAGAGGTTGCAAACATACTTTAAGGGCATTCATATCAAGTTCTTAAATTCATGAACCCATATGGTTGTTTCAAAAGACTGGAACCATGGTAGGATCCCACCTTTATATATATTTTTCTTTTTTTCCTTTTTTGGCTTGCATTTATAATTGCCTACTGCAATGTTGTGCATGATATTCTAATTCTTATGTAGAAACCATCGAGTCCAGAGTTTGTACTATTTGGCTTGATATTTTATACTAATACTGGAATCTTGTCTCCCAATTTTTCTCTTATGCAGAACGATATCATACTATCCACACTTAAAAGCTCTGGAAAAGTTGCTGTCATAGCATCAGAGGAAGATGATCTTCCAGTTTGGATTACTGATGATGGACCATTTGTGGTTGTAGCTGACCCTCTTGATGGTTCTCGTAATATTGATGTTTCTATTCCAACTGGTACAATATTTGGGATCTACAACAGGCTTGAAGAATTGGATCACCTCCCTATTGAAGAGAAAGCACAGCTTAATGCCCTCCAAAGTGGGAATAGACTTGTTGCTGCTGGGTATGCTTTATATTCATCTGCTACCATTTTATGCTTTAGTTTTGGATCGGGAACTCATGCTTTCACTTTGGATCGCTCAACTGGTGATTTTGTTCTCACACATCCCTTCATGAGAATTCCACCTCGGGGTAACAGTTCAATTTTTATGCTCATTTAACACTTTCTTTATTAGTTTTTGATTGACTAATCAACAATTATCATTGAAAAAAAAAGTTACGTATAGGCTGTATGTTCTCTGTTACTATATACTTGTAATATACCCTGAATATGTTCACTCATCCTTGCATGTGAATTCCGCATCAGGGTAACCTTTTGATGTTTTTGGTGCATTGAGCATTCTGTTTACTAGTTGTTGATAGACATGTCAACATTTATCTCTGTAAAAAAATTATGCATGAGCTGTTAATTTTATGTTTAGTTGTAATATATTCTGAGATTGTTCATCAATTTCGTGGCATTTCCTACAATCACATTTTGTTTTTCTTGGACCTGTAAACTAAATGTTATACAAATTGTAGGCTCTAAATTTAACTCCATTTTGGTGTTAACTGCATTATATTCTCCAGGAAAGAAATTTAAATGACGCTTTCAGCATTTTCTGAACACTAGTCCCAAAAAAGTAATCATATTGGTTCATTTTTTCTTAAATCAGGGCAAATTTATTCAGTGAATGATGCACGATACTTTGACTGGCCTAATGGGTTAAGGCAATACATTGACACTGTTAGACAAGGTAAAGGGCAGTTTCCTAAGAAGTATTCTGCTCGGTACATTTGCTCACTTGTTGCTGATTTCCATCGGACCCTTATATATGGAGGGATAGCAATGAACCCAAGGGACCATCTTCGCTTAGTTTATGAGGCCAATCCTCTTAGTTTTCTTGTTGAGCATGCTGGAGGCAGGGGATCTGATGGCAAAACAAGGATTCTTTCAATCCAACCAGTTGAGTTGCACCAAAGGCTTCCCCTATTCTTAGGGAGTTTGGATGACATGCATGAACTAGAAAGTTATGATAATATTCAGCAGAAAGTTAATCCTGGATACGAAGTTTGATTATTAATGAATAAGTTTGATCCATATAAGAAGGGAAGTGTATTGCCGGAAGTTTTCCACATGGTTTGGGCTAAAGCTAAATTTCAATGCAATGAATTCTGTTGGATATTTTTTTTGAATCTAAAAGTTGCTTCATCATTTCAGCAGTCGATTGACTCATCTACTTTATCCTATATCTTGTATTTTTTTTTTCCAGTTGAACAAAGTGTTATTTTTTTTAGAAAAAACTTTTGCAAATAGTGAAGCCAAATTTTGCAAGCTTTAGTTGTGAAATATTAGTTTTACAATGCTGCCAGATGCCATGGAAAATGATGGAGTTGGTTTTATTTTGTTATCAATGGTTCCAAGTCGCTGGCATTTTCTCCACAATCGAGCCATCTTAGAAGAGCCATCAATTCAGCGTTAATGAGCTTCATTCCCAACCCACAGTTTTGTTAAGCTTGCTAAGGGTGAAGAAGTTAAACTGTAAGTTTTCATAAATCCAAGGTATAAAATTGTCTGATGATGTCCCTGCTGTTCTTTTGCCAAAAAAAGAAATGCTCCTCTCTCTCTCTCTCTCTCTCTCTCTCTCTCTATGTATGTATTGATGTATGTATCCATTTTTGTGCGTGTGTATAAATATATGTATTCTTCTCCACTGTAAACGGTCCATTTGAAATTGAAATATATGTATTCCTCTTGTGATGTTCCTGGCGACGTAGAGTGCTATGGAAGAGATAATATTCCTATCGAAAAGTAGATCATCATTGTATCTTGTTTGTTATTCTTTGAATTTTGTAAAAGCAGCTCTCGTTTGAATTTTTTTGATCAATCTATTGTTGTTTTATCGTTGTTTGCTTGCTGATTTTGGCTCTGGAGCGTATCAAATTGGTATAAGAGCATAGATTTTGGAGGGATGACAACAAAGAAATGGATGTACTGGAAGGAGAGGTAGGGCAAATCAGATCAGGAATGGAAGAAATGTTTGCTACCTTGGAGGACAGGTTTTCTTCTTTAGAAAGTCGAATGGAGGATGAATTTGAGAACATAGAAGAAATGCATGAGATGATAAAAAAGCTCATGGAGATGCAGTTCAAGGCCATGCTGATTGCTCCAGTTGCAAACCTTATACAAGGTTTCATCAAGGATTCCTTGGCCAAGTCAATTGAAGGAGATTGAACGATAAGAGAATGGGAAAGACATCATCTACCATCAAGAGCGTCCCCTTAGGACTCCAAGAGAAGGGGGTGTGTAGATTCCTGATGGAGGGGATGAGCCGAAAATTGAAAGAGGGATGGTGTAAGGGACACGGAAGAGCACAATGGAGGAAGGAGAGAATCGGGAGTTAGCTATGCCTATGACCGTGAAGAGTGCATATTACATTAATAATTGCAAAAAGTTGCAAAAAGCGTACAAAAATTAAGCCTCTTGGGCATTTGCAATGTGAGCCTTATCCCCTTGCAGAAAAACAAAAGAGGATCAAGATCATTAACCTGTGTGGTAACAAAGATTTTATCTATGACCATCTTTGCACAGGTATGAGCAACCTTATTATTGCTCTTGAAAGTGAGTTGGAAGATTACTTGTTTGAATCTAAATAAAAAATCAAAATTTGGATTGTTGTGGAGAAAAGTCTGCCATGACCGCCTATCCCTGGTGCTTCGAAAGTAGTCAATAATATTTGAGTTGTCGCTTTCTATGATAATGCTTTTACCTTCGAGCATCCAATCTTCCACGACCTCCAAGAGAGACAAAATTGCCAACTTTTCCACTTGCGCACTATCCCAATGCAGAAGCCGAATACCTCGAGACAATAGAAGCTCCCCCATATTGTCCTGGATGATGATGCCAATGCCCGCCGACCCAGGACGATGCAAGGCCCCATCAACGTTCTAAGGATAGGGCGAGGAGAACCGAGAAGGTTGGTTGGCACCCCAGTGCTCCGAGAAAGGATAAAGTGAGAATGAGAATTAGTCAAATCCTGTGATCGGAGAAGGGAGTTTCTACCCAAGATACATGGGGGACAATATTTTAGGAAGAGGAAGTTGGGGTGGAGATGCAAAGTTCAGAAAATTGGCGGTGCCGATCTTCGAAGGGAAAGATGCACTTGAGTGAATGTATCAGGTGGAGCAATAATTTATAGTCAATAGGTTAGCTGGGGAAGAAAAGCTTATGGCAGCAAAATTATGCTTGGAGGGAAAGGTTTTAGCGTAGTTTCAGTGGATGGAGGGAAGATATCTGATGCACTCATGGGAGGAGTTTAAGGATTGTTTGTTGGACCATTTCCGAGCCATTCAGAAAGGAGACTTGCATGAGCAATTCTAAGCTCTGAGTCATGAGGGGACGATTACAGAATACCAGGAGAAATTCGAGCTCTTGTTAGGGAGGTTGAGGGGTATTTCTGCAGCAGGACTGAAAGCGAACTTCTTGAAAAACCTAAAGCTTGACATAGGAGCAGCCAACCGACCCTTGAGACGACGTGGATTAAAGTAAATGATGAAGCTCGTCCAGATGATGGAGGATAAAAAATAGATGAAAAAGACTAGCAAAGGAGGCAACACCGGAGGATTCTATAAGAGCACCTTGATAGCCACGTCATCGAGGACCTAAACAGTATTATTTCAAAAAGAGGCGGCGAAGGAGAAGAATGTTGGGATCCGTCCCAGGGGTAATTTTAAGCGCGTTGCCAATATATAAGTGCATGATAAAAGGGCAAAAGAATTATGTTACCGCTGTGACGAGAAATATGCCCTTCAAATTCTTTTAGTTCAGGAAGAGACAGAGAATGTGGAATCGGAGGAGGACATAGTGGAGGAGAAGCATCTGCATTTGAGTGTAGCGGAGGTGTCCCTCAATTTAGTGGTGGGATTTATCTCAAATCACACCATAAAAGTGGTGGTGGATCGGGGAACAACCGATTGTGATGTAGCAAAATAGCCGGGCCACGCATAACTTTATCTCAAATCAGGTTGTAGAGAGGCTAGACTACAAGGAATTTTGGTGTCATGGTGGGGACAGGGAAGGCATAGAAAAGTCGAGGAATTTGCATGGTGTCGGTTCTGACACAATATGACCTACAGGTGGTAGAGGATTTTCTTGCCTTAGATTTGGGCAACACAAATGTGATTTTGGGGTTGAAGTGGTTGCAATCACTTGGAGAGATAAGGGTGGATTGGAAGTCCCTGACGATGGGATTCCAAGTGGAGGGTAGAAAGGTGATGCTGAGAGAGTTGCTAGTTTATGCAAAATTATGATGTCACTCAAAACCATGGTCAAGTCGATATAAGGAGCAGAACTAGGCTACTTGATGGAGTTGCAGAGCATTGAGGAGATTCGAGATTCAGAGTTAGCATAGGTTTCCGAAGGGGTCCAACAACTCCTACTGCAGTTTATGAATGTCTTCCAACAGCCAAGCGAGTTACCACCCCTGAGGGAGCATGAGCACACTATTACATTAAAGGAGGGTGTTTTCTTTATTAGTGTCAGACCATACATGCATCTTTAGATTTCGAAGAATAAGATAGAGAAGTTGATCGGAGAGATGCTTGAGGCGGAGGTTATCAGGCCTAGTGTGAGCCCTTTTTCCAGTCCAATCCTGTTGGTGAAGAAAAAAATAGTAACTGGAGATTCTGCATGGACTACCAGACTCTGAACAAGGAGACGATGTTGAATAGGTTTCTTAATCTTATGATTGATGAGTTAGTGGTTGAGCTTTATGTGACATTCATTTTCTCAAAAATTGATCTTAAGTAGGGATACCATAATATTAGGATGAATCCTATAAGATGTGCACAAGAAAGCTTTCAGGACACATGAAGGACATTATAAGTTTTTAGTGATATCGTTTGGTCTCACCAATGCCCCAACCACTTTTTAGTCCCTCATGAATAGGGCTTTTTCAACCTTACCTCTGTAAAATTATCCCGGTCTTCTTTGATTACATTCTGGTCTACAGCCGTATAGAGATAAAGCATGTGACAAACCTAAGGATAGTCCTAAAGACGCTGAGGGAGCACAAGTTGTATGCCAACTTGAAGAAATGTTCTTTTGCACAGTTACGGGTGGAGTACCTAGGACATGTGATCAAAATGAGGGTAGCAGTGGATCGGTCCAAGTTCGAGGTTATGTTGGATTGGCTCTTGCCAAGGAGTTCAAAGGAGTTGAGAGGATCCATTGGAAGTTCATGAGAGGATATGATGCGATAGCATGGCCGCTGACGGAGCAGTTGAAAAAAGATAATTTGAATGGGGAGAAGTAGCAACACAGAAATTTGAGCATCTAAGGAGAGCCATGACCAGCGTCCTGATAGTAGCACTTTCAGATTTCAGTAAACTATTTATGGTGGAAACAGATGAGTCAAGTTACCGGTTGAGAGCAATGTACATGGAGGACCATCGGCCGATTTCTTACTTCAGCCAGGTTCTTATTGCGAGAGTGTGGCTCAAGTAAGTATATGAGTGGGAATTGATGACAATTGTCTTGGTCATTCAGAAGTGACAGCCTTACCTATTGGGATGATATTTTCTTGTCAGGATGATTGGAGGAGTTTAAAGTATCTTCTGGAATAACGAAGAATGACTGAGGAGCATCGGAGATGGCTATCCAATCTACTGGGTTATGATTTTGAGTTTCGGTATCGGGCCAAATTGGAGAACAAGACAACTGACACATTGTCAAGAAAGGTGGAGAAACCCGAACTGACGACCTTATCGATACCCTTTGTCCTAGATTGGGAAGTCTTGAGATAGGAGAGCGAATGGGATGAAGAGTTGAGGAAGGTTAGGGCCGAGTTATTATAAGATCCAAACCGTCATCCGTGACATGCATTGAGGGGGTTGCAGCTGCCCCTTAAGGCGATTCGTGCTAACATAGGCGTCGAAATATATTCCTAGATTATTCTGAGAGTTTCATGGCAGTGTGATTGGAAGACACTCAGTGGTACAAAATACCTACAGTCTTCTAGCGATAGAGCTTTATTGGGTGGGGATGCACAGAGACGTGGAGGATACAATGGTCAAATGTAATGTGTCAGCGGAGCAAGTACTTGACCATGACACCAATAGGTAGCATTACTGGTGAATGTTTGGGAGGACATGCCAATGGATTTTATCAAGGGATTGCCACAGTCAGAAGGGTTCACGGTGATCATGATGGTCGTGGATCGCTTAAGTATGCACATTTCATTCCCTTACGAACATCCCTACACTGCGATCTTAGTCGCATCAGTGTTTATCTCAGAAGTGGTTTGTTTGCATGGAGTGCCGAAATCGAATATATCA